CCGGGGGCGGCGGAGCGGAGCCCTCACAGACGAGCGGTGAGGCCGCGGGATCGCGCTCCATACACACCGGCCTCAGCCCCATCCCGGAGTCGGCGATGGGTCCCCACGGATGTGCTCCCCTGGCAGCTCCTCTCCCCACCACGAAGGACCGGCTACCCCCAGACACTCAGGTGGAGGCCGGGATCACCACCCCGGCTCACCGGGCTGGGGTTTGAGGGCTCATCACTTGTAGGATTGAGGGATCAGGCCAGGGATCTGCTATGGGCAGCAAGACCCTTTCCCCCCACTGTCATCCGTGCTCTAGCTGCCTGCCCCTAGCTGGAATTTTTCTTAGGGATGGGGGTAGAGAATAGGTAATGAAGGATGCATCGCAATTAATGCCTGAAGAGCCTCCAAATGTCCTGTGCTGGGCTTTGTGACTTTCTGTCCGAGCTCCTTCCCAAGAGCTGGGCTGGGGGGCTGGTCAGAAGAGAGATGCCCAGAAGATGAAAACACAGGTAAGAGTGTGCTCCTGCACAGAAGATGTGTGTGTCACTTCTTGTTCTCCTGGACTAGAGGTTATATGGGACTTAAAGGGGGTTACAGGAAAGTTGGGAGCAAGAGCCCCAGACACCATCCTAAAAACCTTCTATTGTCAGCACAGCAGTTGCATAAATCGGGATTTTTTTTCCCTCCTGCTACAAAGTTATTTTCAAGCTGACAGAAGAAATTCCTCCCAGGCTTTTCTGTGCCAGCCTTATCTAAGTTCACCAGTATGACTTTCTCCCTTCTGCTGCATGAGCTTCTGTGAGATGATCATTCTCATTTTCATGTCTCATTTTAACAAGTGCCAGTTCCTCCCATAAGTGTCTGCATTTAACAAGCACCATTTTGTCCAGAGACACAGTGAAAGTGACAGACCACCAGAGGTCTGAAGCTCTGCTCCTGCCACTGCAAATGCTTGTTTTTTCCCTGGAGGGACTCTGACAAAGCAAGCACTGACTGCACTCTGGTGCACAAGCTGCCCCTGGACTGGAACAAAATCAGTAAATAATTAGCAGTCAAAGGTCTTAATGGCTCAGACCTTCAAACACAGCTGCTCCTGTTGAAAGTTAACCACGGGGTATTTGCAGCCAGTGGTCCAAGATAAGCGAGAGAGGAAGGCTTAGGGAAGTAGAACAGCATGGACACTCAGCAGGAACATAGGAAATTCTGATCAAATAGCTGCATCCAGCCCCTGGGTGCAGGAGAGCCCTGGTGGCATGATATGAGTGAGGAAAGGGTTGTCTGGACAGGCTGAGCAGGGAAGCTGGGGCATGAGACAGAGCAGCACAGCTGGCTGAGCAGGAGACAAGAGCTAGCAACTCAAACCCAGAGTCATGACATACTCAGCAGAATCCTGCAAATGAGCTCTGAGAGTGAAAACAAGGAAAACAGCAGAGTTTTCAGTTGGCATTTAATAGAAACCTAATTTTGAAATTCATAATTTGCAGACACAGAGAAGGCACATAATTTTGAAGGCAGCTCTCCCAAGATCAGCTCCGTTTTCTGCGAATTATTGGGAAGAAAAAGAAGAAAACTACTACAGCTTCTCAGAGCAGCTTGTATATGCTAATCATAGTGCACCCAATATGCTAATCACAACAGGGCAACAAGCCTGTTATCCTGAAATGTGACAAATGCTGTCACACCACCCAAGGCTGTTCCTGTTCCAATGTGTGGGGAAGCAAACAGAAGTTTATAGGCAGGAGAAGTGCAGCACCATCAGTGAGACTTTGGCACCATCCATGGCTCGGGTCACTTGAAGAAGAAGCCGTGTTTCAGTGGGTCCTCCTCTTCGACAGTGAAGGTGGCTGTACCAGTATAAAAGGCTTCTCCTGAGACTTCCACAATGACAGCGTTGTAGTTCCCAAACTTGGCTTCCTGCAGAGGGATTAGGATGAGGGTAGAGGCAACAGAAGGTTCTCCACTCTCCCAACCCCACAGAATTCCTGTGCTACCTGGCATTTATGCAGACACCCCTCCCCGTGCACTCTGTCCTGCCCTGCTACATCCCAAAGCGTGCAGCAGCCACACGAAACAAGGTCCTAAAATCCTCCAAGTGCCAGGTTTGTGGGAGGGCAAGACCTACAGGCACCTCCCTCCTTCCCTACACCCTTCCCCAGGAACAGAAAGGCTTTTCTGCTTCCCCACTGAGCACATTTCCAGCAGCCCTTGAGACAGGGAAAAGCCCAGCACAAGCCACTTGCCTTCACTGCCTTCCCAGTGAACAAGGAGCCCGTGGTGCTGCTCCGGAAGGTTCTGCTCTGGTCCAGCTGGATGAGTCCCTTATGGTACTGCAAGGCAATGCGAGCTGTCACCCCCGAACCTGTCGGACTTCGGTCAACCTACAGCAGAAGAGATGAACCAGCTCTAGATTTTGGTGTTTAATACAAAATGAGATTGCTCCCTTCAGTTCTCTCTGTCACCTTTACACTGCACTCGGAGGAAGCCCCTCCAACCCAGGGTTTTGTAGAGAATTCAGATATGTCAGATAAAGAAAAAAGAAGCAAGTTTGGGGTACTTTTGGACTGTGATTGGCTTTGGCACAGTTAGGGATGGATGATCTACTTCGCACTGAGGCTGTTTAGGAACACTTGGAATCTTCCCAGCATCTTAAAAGGACTGAGAGGGTCTAAGGCTACCTGCCCTATTCTCACACCTCAAGGCAAGGTTGGTTCTCCTTATGCTGAGGGGATTCCTGGCCAGCATGGTTTTTAAAATCTCCAAAACCAGAGCTTCTCAGGTGATCTGTCCCAGTGCTGCATACTCCTCACTGCTGGGAAGTCCAACCAAAACTTCCCCTGCCGTTTAGGTCATACCTTATGCTCTGCAAACAAGAACAGAATTTTAACACCCCATTTCTCTCCTGTTGTTCATCCCTAGCAGATGTTCCCTGGATTAGGACTTCAGGGACATGCACTATGCTGGGTTCCTGTCACAGCCCCTGAATCCTGGATTCCAATCAACAGGTTTTGGATATGAACCTTTTTGAAATGTCACCATCTAAGGTGTGAAGAAGGATTTCTGCTATTAGGAGCAAAACCAGAATCAGCACTTGGGTCTCCAGGGACATGACAGCAGCACAAGCAATCACTGCCCAAACTAAGAATCAGAACAGTCTCTGTTCTTTGCAGAGGATCTAAGGGACAATTGTGGTACCTCTTGTGCCTGAGAAGAGCTCGTTTCTGTACCTGTTCATCTGCAAACACACAGATGTTGGTGGTGGGCTCCTCACTAAAGGCATCTTTCCCATCTGTCAGTATGGTGCCATAGAGGAAAGCCAGGTCTTCACTCTCAGGGTGATGAAGCTTGAACTGGGAACAGCACAGAGAGGGTCACAAATGCACACAACAGCAGCAACGTGTGCAGTGCAGCTTCTGTGAGAGACCAGGGGAGGGGACAAGGCCACATTACTGCATTTCCACCTCTGCTTTGCAGGTAACAGGGAGAAGCAGGAAGGCTCCTTCTCACATCCTTACTACAGACTGAAATTCAGCGTGGGGCCAGGAGGATGGGACTCTCCCACCACGCTGAGCATCTCAGTCTGGTGCAGTCACCCCAAAGGGAACATGCTGGGATACCACAGTGCTCATCCATACCTGTTTCTTCACGGCTTCTGTCACTGCACTCGCTGCACTGACAAGGTCTCTGGTCTTTGAAGAGCACACATCAAGGCCCAGCTGCTCGGCACTGAGGAAGGCATAGAAAGTGCCACCGTAGCCAATGTCAACCACCACCTTCCCATGGCCAGGGACATCAATGGCCAGGCCTGAGCAGAAAAAGGGAGGAAGGTGAGGATCTAAAACTGTGCGAAGCCATGGGCTCGCAGAGAGTGAAGGAACCCAGTGGATGGTAACTTGAGTACTGCTATGGCACCTTGTAGAGCTCATCACCCTGATGACCTCTGCAGAACTAGGGAGATAACTGCCTGACGCCCCTCAGCCAGGCCACCACCAGCCACCCCACAAGACCCGGCGGTCCCCACCGGTGGCGGCAGCGAAGGCGGGCACGCTGTGGAAGCGCACGGGGTTGCCGCTGCGGTGGCCGTCCCAGGGCACGAAGGCGGTGA